AGAGAGAGAGAGAGAGAGAGTGAAAGAGAGAGTCAAAGTAATGCGGCCCTGTGTTCGGCTGGTGCTTCCCGTTCCCCTCTTTCCAGCCTTGACAAAACACATTTACGATACCTTGTGGGTGATGAATTATTCCCCACCTTGCAACGCTTTTCCCACGGACGAAACGTTACCAGCCTTTCGACACTCTATCTCTATTTCCATGGCAAATGTCCTGACGAGCTACATTTCTTATTTCCACCAGTTCAGACCTTCACTGCTAGGACCCGTCATAACACATACCCTTAGCCGACTTATCCTTGTCGCCTTCATATTCCATTGGAAATAAACGTTCCGCTCGGTCATCGTCTTCCCCAGAGCTGTTACATTGCAGAACTGACTCGGAAAAGGCTGCTTCCTTCGGCACTACAATTTCAACTTCTACAGTCAGCCATTATCTTTCCGACATATTCCCAAAATAGGAACTTCTTCCTTGTGCGCTTTTACAACTGTTGTAGAGTAGTTTTCACAGTGGAGGCTTGTATTTCAATAAGTCGTCCTAAATTAGGTTCGACGTACAAAACGTTAGGAACTTGAAATAAGAGTTAATGACGCAGCAATCTAGTTGTGATGGTTGGTACTTCAATATCCGATATCGACTGACTCGCTCAACACCACTGAGCCCAACTGGCGACCGCTACTACTACTACTCATTATCTGTGGGAGAGTATTACAATAGAATAGGTACGTCAGGTATAACCACAACAACCAAATTTATTATTTGCATAAGGATGCTGGGAATTTATATGATTAATTCGGATGAGCTCTTCGCCATGTTACCTAGACTTTTTGAATTTAAGAGCAGTACTAGACTGTTGTCGAGATCACATCAATTTACAATTGACCTGGATAGATGTAACCGTAGATTAGATGCAAACAGTTTCTTTTCTCGCTTGTGGAACTCCCTTCCGGCTCCATGATTTCCAGCCATCTTTAATCTGTAAAAATTTAAATTCAATGTCAATCGCTATTAATAGTCCTCCTGATTACTCTACCCCGAGTGACTCTTGCGCCTTGTAGTGGAGGAACAATAATTATAATTAATTCGGGAAGCGAAAATCGCCGAAAAAAATGCATAAAAAGTCAAATTAATTAACAAATAGCCCCTTGACTTACCCTGTGGTTCTCAACCGTCGGGCTGCGATACACTAATAGTACCGCGCTGTCCTCCTAAGTGTGTCCCGAAATATTGTCCCGGTACACACACACACACACACACACACACACATATATATATATATCGGTAAATCGAATCGAGTTCTCTCAGTCACTGTGTGTTTATCTAAAAATAAATACGCTTAAATTCACCTTCATCCCTGCCAACGGCTTAGGGATAGAATCCCCCGACTGACGCCAATTCAGTCGGGTTTCGATTCTAGCTATAGGCAACAGGACGTCTAGCCACACTGATGAGCTGTGATACAGCGTTACAGTCTGCCTGTGGATGACAATATACAGGGTGTTCATAAAGTTCGTGTGCACTTTAAAAAAATTATAACTTTATTTGTATTTGTGATAGAAATAATCTTTAAAAAAATGTTATAAAGTTTAATGTACCTAGTTTTAAGTACAGCTAAAATAACTAATGTGATTTCAGGCATTACTACAAATCAGTTGGCAAATGTTTTCCGTGAACTGCAAAATCGTATTACCCTTTGTATTGCTAATGATGGAGGACATGTAGAAATTTAAATAAAATTTCAATAAAACCTTAAAAAATATAGATTTACTTCTTTCTAATCCTTTTTACAAATTATTTCTATCGCAAATAAAAATAAAGTTATACATGCACACGAACTTCATGGACACCCTGTATATGCTCCTGAAAAATTTATTTCGGTTGTTTACAAACGCACACTTACTCTGGCGAGGAAGGGTGCGTTTGTAAACAGTGACTATTACGGCTAATAATGCAAGACTCTTGGGTAAATCGAATCGAGTTCTTTCAGTCACTCTGTGTTTATCTAAAAATAAATACGTTTAAATTCACATTATTCCCTGCTGTAGAATCCTCGACTGACGCCAATTCAGCCGGGTTTCGATTCTAATTAGAGGCAACCGGACATCCAGCCACGCTAATGAGCTGTGATACAGCGAAACAGTCTGTCTGTGGATTACCATATATATATATATATATATATATATATATATATATGGAAGTAGTACTAAAATATATATATATATGGAAGTAGTATTAAATTTTTTTATCTCAAATTAGCTAAAAAGGCTTTATCAGTCGTACTTCAATTTTCTACTTCTTATTTATGTGAATTAGGTTTCTCGAACCTAAATGACATAAAAAATAACAAGCCAGAAAGACTACACTCTGAAGAAGAAGAAGAAGAAGAAGAGGGTCTGTTTATCGTACATTCGACCAAACATTGAAGAAATCTCAAAGACACGAGGCACACGTTTCACACTAAATAAGCTGCACAAATCGTTGAATAGAAACATTGAAATAAAATGAGGTTCATATTTGTGTGCGTTTTTTTTTTTAAATCTATGGTTTTATTCCATAACATTTTAATGTACATCCTTTAAAAATATTGCTACGTTTGTCGTGATATCTTCATTTGCTCTTAGGCGTGCCGATGCTTAGAAAAGTTGAGAAACACCGGATCTAACCCGTGGCTAACCAAAACTTCAGGCATGTCTCTGACATTTGTGGTGTAATAAATTGCCAAGATGGTTTAAACGTTCACCGCAGAAAATATATTAAGTTTTAATTTGTAATTTCAAATAAGGACCACATTTCAGTTTATAATTCTAATAAAAGGTCCTTTTTTTTCTATAATTTTACGTCACATTTATTTTAAAAATTTAGGTAATTACCAAGTTTTATTAAAAAAAGGAAAAGCTTCCATTTCTGTTATTTGTTTTAAGTAATAGCTTCATCTTAATCAATACTTTTAAGTATATAATTTTCGGAAATAGCCACTTTCAGTCTATATTTTCCTGTAATAGTCTAGTTTTAGTTTATAATTTTCGGAAATAGCCACTTTTCAATATCTGTCTGTCTGTCTGTCTGTTTCTCTCTCTCTCTCTCTATATATATATATATATATATATATATATATATATATATATATAATAAATATACATATATATAATATATATATAAATAAATACATACATATAATATATATATATATATATATATATATATATATATATATATATATATATATATATATAAAGAAAGAACAGTAAGATATATAATCCAGTGTTCTTATTGATATTTTTATTTTTACAAAACTGTGCTCAATGTAAATTTATAGAGCATAAATATTATAAATTAACTGATTTAAAATGTTTTTGCTACACAGTAATAACCATGTTTCAAAAACTGAAGCTAAAAACTTCAAATTTAATTATATAATTAAATTAAAAGCATTAGTTCTGTTTCATCTTCAAGCAAATTTTGGAATAACTTATTTTTAAATTTACTGAGTTTTAACCGCACATATAAATTCATAAGGATACAAGAGAAATCTAATCATTCAGACAGGGGTGGTAGCATGCTCATTTTTATTAACTATTGTTGTATCAATTATGAGTTACATTCGAAAAAGAGGTTAAGTTTAGGGAGGGTAGGGGTGTATTTTTCAACGAATTCTGACATCCATTAAACGCATGTCGTCTGTTTTTTTTATTATTCACAACAAAAAGATTTTCGGCATCTTTTTCGTACTTGTATACTTAAAGATTCATTCTAAAAGGAGTGTTTGGGTTAGAATACGTTATATTTAATTACAAATTTAAAATATTTTTACTTTTAATTACTAATAGACTATATTTCTTTTTAAATCAATTAAATGTAATAGAATTACTTAAATTATTTAAAATTATTTTTTCATATCAAATATAAGTATGTATATTACCAGCTCTCATTTTTTAAAATACTATTTAAGGAAAATTTTTGACAATGACGGCAAAGAATAGCTATTTTTTTTCTTTGATTCAGTAAATTTTTATTTTTTATAAACTTAGTAATATATAGTTTCTCATGTATGCACGAAGGACATGGGTCATTTAATGGCGTACATATTCTAGCTTTTCTTATTAATTTCCATTTTACTGTAGGTGTTTTATTGGTTTCTTTTAAGTACCAGAAATATTTTGAAAGGTATGTCTGATTTCTGTATTTATTTATCCTAAATGAAGTATGATGTTGATTGAACCTATTTTTGAACTCATAGATTTTTATGTTTTCGAGATTCTCAATGGATGAAATATTGCACTGGTATACTAATGATTCCGTGCGACATTTATTCTGTAGAGGACAGATATTAGGATTTCTACAATTACAAAATAAATATATGTTTATATAATACACACATATATATATCTGAGATGAGGTATTATGATTACGTACATTATTTACATTACTCGGACTGTTAGCCTCATCTTCATTGCGATATTCACAACGTTTCGGCCGTTTGTAAGCTCCGGTTTTCTTCAGGTGATTGGAATTTCGAACCGAACCCTTTATTTTGTCCACCGGCGTAGATTGTTCTAGTTCCACGTGCCATATCTCTTCCGGATGTCTCAGTTATTCCCCTTTAACTCAACTCACCAAGTTTTTTGGTTCACCACTGCTGTAGCCAGGTATTGAATCCATAACTCTTTGGATCTAGTCACTGGATCTAACCAACGCCTTTATCCACTTGGCCATATGTCCTTATTGCTTATTGTAATTGTTGATTGATTGATTCGTTTTTTACACCTTATCAACCCACTGCATGTTATTTAAAACCAGAAACCATTTTTGGAGTGTAAGAGTTAATTAAGATATTAATCATTTAGTGATACAAGTCTTACTAATTAACCCATAGCTGTGGGGAGAAGAAGGGTATTCGTACTTTTCCCAAAGGTATTTATCGCGTAAGTGAATATAATGAACCCAACGGGAACTTGAACTCGGCTTTTCGATTCGACATTATCCATTATACCGATTAACAATGCTTACAGCACATGGTATTTCCAAGCGCTTACCCATCTAGGTACTGACCAGGCTCGACGTTGCTTAACTACGTTGACCGTACGGAAACCGCTGTCTTATCGTAATGTGGCTGTAAGCTTGTTTATTTTAAGTTCACTGTCCAAGATATTTTCATTTGCCTGAGATTGTGTAATTATAACAAAATCAAATTTCTCTGTCAAAATAAAAGAAAAAACTCTTTGGGTTTAGTCATTGGGTCTAACCAAAGCTTTTTTAACGGCCATGTGAATATAACAATGAAGATGAGGATAACAGTCCGAATAATCTAAATAAAGTAAGTAGTCACTTTTCAGTCTAACATTTTAGATAGTGGCTACTTTAATTAATGGCCTCCTTTTAGTAAATCAATTTAATTATATACATATGGTCATATTTCAATCAAAAGTTTTAGATAATGTTAAGGTGTTAATATGTAATTTTAGTTAATGACCATTTTTTAGTTTCTAATGTTAAGTAAAGATTATGCTGTACTCAATCATTTTTGTTATTGGTCACGGTTAGTCAATAATTTTATGAAATGTCCACAATTTAGTGTATGTTTTCAATAATAGTTACTTTTATTCGATAATTTTCGATAATGGGCACGCTTTAGTCTGTAATGTTTAAGCAATAATCTTGTTTTAATCTAACATTTAAGGTAATGATCATATTAAGTCTAGAGGTTTGAGTAATCACCATGTGAATACATTTAGGTAATGTCCATATTTGAGTCGATGATTTTAATGGTCATATTTCTGAACTTTTATCTCTGTACATTTAATAATCGTATTTCGATCAATACTTTTAGGTAAAATTTACGCTTTAGACTACAATATTATATAATGACTATGTTTTCGTCTATATTTTTAGATAATGTCCATATGTAATCTCTAAGTTTAGGTAATCGCCTGGAATTCATGACACGAAAATTGAACAAAAAAAATCAATAGAAGAGATTGCCATCAACTTTTTGAACTCTTATTTAGTAAAAGAGGCACGGTGTAATGGATAGCGGCTCGGTGTGAGTAACCGACGTACCGAGTTCGAATTTCAGTCGAATCCATTATATTCACTTACGTGCTAATACCCTTGGGAAAAGTATGAATCCTTTTCTTCTCTCTCCAGCTACGGGTAAATAGTTTGGATTTCTACCGCAGAAAGAATTGGCAACCTACTTCGGAAAAAAATCTGCCCCTCTCAGTCATGTATCGAAAGATATATGATCGCCTTAGCGTGTATCACGCATGAAATATAACTGAACTGATTAAGTAAAATCAAATTTAATATGCATCGCACAAGAGTTTAGATACTTTCTTTATATATAATTATTTTTTATAAAAAAAAAAAAATTATAACATAAGTATGTTATAAAATCACTACAAAAATAGCCATTTTGTTTCAACACACTCTGTGTCTTATCAAGTGATGATGTTGAAAAGAAAATAAATGGTTTTTTACATATATATATATATATATATATATATATATATAATTCAATTCTGGAGACGTGACCTCTTTCGGTGAGAGAGAAAACTTGTTTCACTAATTATAATCAACTTCTCTATTTAATATATTTATATATATATATATATACAGGGCCAGTTTATGACCTTCTCGGACTACTGGGCCAGACGTCGGCAAACGGGTTCCGAGCGACCCCCTAGGAGTAGGCGAGGAGTTTCAGCGGTTCGATGATGGTCAAGGGGTCGAATAGAGGCTGATAAACGAATGGCACTGAGCTAAATTTTAGTCAGTGTACATATATGTTGCAATCTTCGGTGCAGTGAGCTAGACGATAGACAGAACCAAAACTTTAGTTACATCTATACAAGTAGCTTTTAACTTATTGAATGCTACATTAAGCATCGCTTGCTCATTTTTAATTACTAGCTTGCTCTTTTTTAATTACGTAAGTTGATTTTTAGATAACTGTTATATCTCGTGCAAGATAATAAACAAAGTAAACCCGAGTGTTGGTTTTCAATAATAATTTTATAATCGGATGTAGGTATGTCAAAATACAGAGACAGAGTCGGGAGTATGCTAACCTCAATAGGTGTTAACAAACGAAGACCTTTTGACTGTCCGCTGTGGTCGTACTTAATCGGCAACCAGTCCGTCCATTATCGTGAATGGGGAAGTTGGGTTATATCATCACAACAATAACAATCCCCTTTATTCAGTCTATAACACGAAAATAGAGTTTATGATTATGAAGGTCGTTTGGCCTGATTGGTATGTTTGCATATGTTGTAATATTTGTTTATTTAAATAGTTGTGTGCAGATTTGAAAAAAAATACATTTGTTTTTTTTTGTGATTTTTTGCTACATAGCGATTACGCATTTTGCCGTATATATATATATATATATATATATATATATATATATATATATATATATATATATATATATAATAACTAGCTACTCGTATTCAAGGATACCCGTCTACTACGGCGGCTAGCCAATCCCTATTGCAGACGATCGCTTAGGCACATTTCTGTTTGTTCAACACCCACAGAGTCCACCTATGATTTATACTGCAACTATGCTGAGCAGACCTTAGTTACAGTTTCTGGAAGAGAGAGTGGTATCTAGAATGATCAAGAATTTAAACAAGGCCAGTACACTCAAACCCTCAGTCACGATGACTTGTTATTTCGTGCTAGCACAGCGATCAACGGCCCCCAAGGGTTCCGTTTACCTAATTTCACTTACAAGGCTTGAGTCAACCCGTGGTATGGTTTTCAGGCACATTCCACTTGGATCGTCCCCCTCTAGTCCGATAAGATCAACAGTGGTGAGATTCGAACCCGGATGTCATGGTCAGAAAGCAAAAGTTCTAGCCATTCGGACTATATATACTCGTATACTGATTAAATCTTTCAATAAATATCGAGAAACTTTCCTCTTTTTCTTTACAAATATTCCAGACACTAAGAAAAAGTAAAGAGTCTATAACCCTTTTCCAACCAATTATTTTGATAAAAACATTTAATTTTCAGATGAATTTCTTATGTTTTTAATATAATAACTAAGAAACTGAGGTACCCTGAAGTACCCGAGCGGTAGCTAACTCCTCTACCAGCCGTATGAGTTGAGAATTGAACTCGTTTCAAGCTCAGAAGGGCATAAAAAGAATTAATATCGACGTATAAACACGTCCATAGTTGGGTTTTGATCGTTATTTTTTGGATGTGTTTATTCGTCCGTGTCTGCAAAAGACGCTTTCGTATATACACGTCCACGCCGAGGAAAGGGTTAGTCGAGGTTATTTGAAATTGTGTTTCATTATTGAAAATGAATTGATTCTCATGCGCCAATTTTGCGAAATCATTGATGATTGCCTGAAGCGATCTAAGGTGAAAAGAACAACTGCAAAGGATTCCTGGTGACAAAAAAAAAAAAAAAAACGTAAAGATCTTGATTTCAAAGCTCTGAATGCGAAACTTAACAGGAAACCAAGACTGAAGCCATTTTTCAAACCGCATGCAAAAAGCAAGAAATAACCTTGAGGGAGCACAGAAAGCCTCTTACAACACGATTTGCACACAGAGAAAAAAGCCTCACTCAGTCGAGGAGGAAGTGATTATTCCTGCTCTTGTGGTGGTTATTGGAAATGTAACGAAGACTAACCCAGTCTATTCCGTTGAGTGGACGTACAGTGAAAAGCCGTATTGACAAGATGGCTACCAATGTTGAAAAAACATTGGTATTGGAGGTGCAGTCCTTGAAGTTTTCACTTCAACTGGATGACTCAACATTTGGTAAATAAAATGTTCATGTCCCCCTCAGAGGGGAGCCCCCCTCTAACACGCTCGCACCAGTTTTGAATATTTTTTTGAATCGTGACTTATTTTAGCAACATTTACCTAGCTTTAAGTAAAATTATCGAACATTCATTAAATAAACTAGAATAGGTGTCATTTGTTTGCCAATAAAAATATTCAAGAAATAATTTTAATATTTATTTCAAACTAAATTAGCACATATTTCAATATAACCGTAATAAAAAAACAGATTTTTTTTTATAAAAAGCATTAACAATAAAACAGTCAAAATAAATATGAGCTTGTCATATTGATATCATTTCAGTTTATGGAACTATTTAGAAGTTATAACATCTAGAAAATTAAAACCATTGCTTTATTAAAATTTCTAAGATTTAAACATTCTGAGCTAAAAATCAAACATGTTATATCCTTGAAACACAAAGACAAACTAAAACTTTCTTTTCCTTGCATTGCTTCCTGCAAAGGTCAAATAAATGAGTTGAAATAATTTCAGTTTATGAAACTATTTAGAAGTTATAACATATAGAAAATTAAAATCACTGCTTTATAAAATTTTGAGGGAGCCTAGACTGCAGCCTTTAGTAGCCTAAAGGTTAACCCGGCCCTGAGCATGACATTAATTTCAGATATTTTTACACCTGCAAACGCCAGATTTACAAAAAATGTGATTTGCAATATACGGAAAAGATGCTGAATAAATTTAATAGACGTCGAATGTATATTCCTTTTAATACGACTCAAATACGATTCAAATACCAAAGTAAAATTTCATATTCAAATACGAAAATAAAATTTCATATTCAAATACGAAAATAAAATTTCATATTCAAATACCAAAGTAAAATTTCATATTCAAATACGAAAATAAAATTTCATATTCAAATACCAAAATAAATTTCATATTCAAATACCAAAGTAAAATTTCATATTTAAATACCAAAATAAATTTCATATTCAAATACCAAAGTAAAATTTCATATTTAAATACCAAAGTAAAATTTCATATTCAAATACCAAAGTAAAATTTCATATTCAAATACCAAAGTAAAAACAAAAAAAAAACAGATTTTTATAACAAGCATTATAACAATAAAACAATCAAAATCAAAATAAACGAGTTTTTAATATTGATATCATTTCAGTTTATGAAATTATTTAGAAGTTATAACATCTACATAATTAAAATCATTGCTTTATTAAAATTTCTAAGATTTAAACATTTTGAACTGAAGTCAAACATGTTATCTACTTGAAACACAATGACAAACTAAAACATTCTTTTCCTTGA